AAACAAACAATTTTCATGAAAGAAATATTTTGTGAAATCAAATGACATTCAAGGCTATTCAATTTCAGTAAAGTGTCTGGTATGTCATTCAATTGTAGATTATTAGTCCAAGCTTCTGATGACACCTTATTTTGTTTCAATTTTCGATGACATGTGTAACAAATCCATAGTTTGCCTCGGCACAGTTTAATCATACAGTCTTTAGAACAAGAACTTGTACAAATATGAAGGTACTTTTCAGATATGCATTTACTTATTTTATATTTCAATTTATGACATTGCAAAACTTGAGTACGAAACAATAATTTTAAACATACTGAACAAACAAATTCTGGTCCATTACAATGAAACTTATGGAACTTACTTATAACATCACAGATACTTTTCTTCTTATGATAATTAATTTTTTGTTTTTGCCGCAGTGCTGCACAATCAGTTTTATCTAAACCATACTTCAGTCTTAGTGCACACAATTTTTTTGCTCTGAACAAAACATTCCTGTGGTATTTGTCTTTGCAATCTTGGTAAAACCTCAACTTTTTCTTTCTTCCATACTGCAATCGTGATTTTTGTAGCATATAATTTCTATGCAAAGCATTGCTTTTATACTTAATACGATGATACATATTATGACTAAGTCTAAAATTTACATCAGTGTTATACTTCATAAATATTGCTCTTTTCTTCTTTGATTGATATATAACATTAGTTTTGTATTTTCTGCTTTGAGCATTTTTTGTCTGAGATCGATACAGTTCATCTGTCTTGTATTTCATTTTCATTTTTTGGCCAAATATTTTCTGAGATCTATGCATTTCATCTGTGTTGTATCTAATTTTTTGGGCAGATTTCTTTTGAGATTGATACGCTTCATTTGTCTTGTATTTAATTTTTTGGGCAGATTTCTTTTTACATTGATGCGCTTCATTTGTCTTGTATTTTATTTTTTGGGCAGATTTCTTTTGAGATTGATACGCTTCATTTGTCTTGTATTTAATCTTTTCAACAGATAATATTTTAGAACGATACAAGTCATCTGTCTTATATTTGGTCTTTTTGACAGTGTTTTGCTTTGTCCTGTACAATTCACCTGTCTTGTATTTACTTTCTTTAAGGATTGGTTTTACCCTAGATAACCTCATTTTAATTTTCTGTTCTTTAAGTTTTTTTTTGTAACCAGTTTTCCTTGTTTTATTGTTAAATCTTGAGAACACTCTTCTAGATTCAATAGATGCATCCTTATAGGATTTATTACCTTCTTGGTCAAAAATGTATGAAGCACTATTCATTCTTGTTTTTTTGCTGGGAGGCTCTTCAAAATTCTTGTCAATTTCATCCTCATTAATATACTCAAAATCTTCATAACTTTTATGAAAATCTTCAGCATCAGCAACAATCTCAATAACACCATTACTTTGCACAGATAACACAACATCATAATGTATTCCACTTGTATGGTTTAAATATATGCCTCTGTTTGTTGTAGCCTCTCCCATTTTGGCTTTTTTTCCACAAAATATATGCCAACATTTCAATTCTTCATCATAAATGTAAATATCAGTTTCCAGCAAATTTGCAGTTACTAATATCTCGATCTCTGATGCCCATATGCCATATTCCATTATTCTTTGGCTTTTTGCATACTGTAAAACAGAAGAAAAATTTCTTCCCAAATAACCAACAAAAATATCAGAGTTTGTTGTCAGAAAATCTACTACCGCAACTCTTATGTCCATATGATTATCTTCAAATTTACAGATTGCATAGGAAATACTACGATAAAAGCAATTACCATCACCAATGATTGTTTTCAGTTCAAGTGGACACCCTAAACATTGATTTGAAATAACAGCATTGGCAGAACGAAGTAGATGTTGATGTGAAATACTCAATTTTCTACATAGCTTTAACTTATCTTGTTGTACAATGGGTTGAAAAAAAAGATTTTTTCTTGTAACCCCTAATACAACAACATCATCATTTTCATGTTCAAGTGATGAATCTTTGCTAGCAGCTTCACAACCAATTTTTTCATCTTTGGCATTAATCATAATTTGTTTCTGGCAAACATTTGAATTTTTAACTTTACAGGTAGAATGTACTTCATTAGAAAATTGCTGAGATTTACTTTTAGTCATGTTACCAGTGGAAGTAGGTATTTTATGCAGCTCTAGTTTCATTTTTTTAATTTGCACAACCTCTCCTTCATACAACAAGTTGGTATTACATGTACCTTCTATTCCTGCAGAATTTTGCATACCAGTATTACTGTCAACTTTACTACTATTATTTTGTGTACTGTTTTTTCTCTTCTTCTTATGATTTACTATACAACAGGTTTCTTCATTGGTGGATTTGTCAAGCTTCAACACAGTGTTTTTCTGAGAAATTACAGGACATTCAAGGCCTTTCCTTTCAACATGTGACATCAAGTTTTGAGTGAAAAACATATCATTATATTCTTGCTGAGGAGAGTTTTCATAACCAATCTTTAAACTATCTTTGGTTTCACATTTCTGGGTATTAAGTATCCCAGATGTACACTCAGAATTGTTTTCTTGAATCACTTCAAATGCAATATTTCTTTGTTTACATTCATTATCAGGTTCTTTATTACTCTCAACATGTATTGCATTTATAGTGCTTTCAATGCTTGGAATTTGAGTTTCTGTTCCGGGTTCACTTGTTAATAACTTTGGCAATTTTTCATTTAATGTTTGAGAGTCTCCTGCACTTCTATGAAGATCTACACCTGTCAATTCGTAACATGCATTAACAAGACCAACATTCATAGACCCAGCTAACTTTGTAATATGCTTGTAAACACCTTGCCATGATGATGTAAACATAAGAATGCTCTTGCCATCTTGAACTTGGAGGCCAGTCTTGGATCTCGAATGTGAATCAAAAATGCAATAACCAACAAGTGTGGATATGACAATGAGTGTACTTCCATTGAAAGTGAAAAAACAAGCATCATGTTGACAAAGTTCTTGAGCAAGGGCTCGTTTTAAAATAATCCATTTATATTCAGGCATTTCTTTTCCAATAATGTAACCTTTGACTGGTTCTTTGTAATTCATTGTAAATACATCATCAAAACCTTCTAGAACTTCAGGTAGATTTGATATCAACAAAAAGTCCTGACTTTTTTTATTGATCTTTCGAATAAGGCCATACAACTCATTGCCATGTACTAGAATATTATCTAAATCCTTACTACACCAGTATTGTATATTCTTGATTCTGCTAAACATCACAGCTGACAAACAATTGGCTACACATTGCTTTCCACTATTTTCACCAAATCTATAATTTCCTTGATTGAAGTTTCCATGAACTAGTGATGCGGTAGAATTATCAACATTGGTGTTAGATGTGCCACCTTTACATTTGTCTTTCGTTATGCCTAAACCAGTAGATGTAGAAGCCATACAAGTATCATCTTGTTGCAAGCTTAACTTAGAATTTTCATATCCACACTCCTTTGAAAGAGATGCACACATACTGCTAGTACTGTTACAAGCCTGAACAACTTCACTTCCATTTACTTTCTTGGTAGTTTTATCCTGGACAATTACCTTGCCTTTTGTTTGTGGCACAGATTGCATTTGTTTATGTAAGCTTCTTTCATGAATGTTAGTGCACTCTTCCTGTGTGTTTACAGCATTTAAAGATATGGGGAAAGTACATGTATTACGTTGCTGCATATCTGATGTGCAACTTTCAAATGTAAACTCCTTCACGTGGGATAAACAAGTAGGCTGAATACCACCAATATCACTATTACACTCTTTTTGGCAAGATGTTTGCTTCATTCTAGTACTGCTACTCTCCAACATAAGTGCTTGATCTCTGTTTACATTCTCAGTCTTTCCACTATGTAGATCTACATGTACATGTATGTCATCCATGTCTTGTGACACAAACTGCATAGGGTAATCTAAGACCCCTGTTACACATGCGTCGGCTTTTAAAGCGGGCCCCGGAGGCGGCCTCACACCTGCAATTTGAAGCCGCCTCGAGATCATCAAACCCCTGTTACACATGATCTCGGGCCCGCAATTTTGCGTCTACACATAGGCCGGCCTCACGTCGCTTTTCACGAGCTGATGTTGGGGCGGACTCCAGAAAGACAGAAAGAGAGAGTAATAGAATGACAAAAACAAAGAATAACATAAGGAAAGACAGAAAGAGAGAGTGATATAATGATAAAAACAAAGAATAACATAAGAGAAGATGAAAGAAAGAAGAAACAAAGAATAACATAAGGAAAGACAGAAAGAGAAAGTGTGATAAAAACAAAGAATAACATAAGAGAAGATGAAAGAAGGAAGAAACAAAGAATAACATAAGAGAAGATGAAAGAAGGAAGAAACAAAGAATAACAAAAGGAAAGACAGAAAGAGAAAGTGTGATAAAAACAAAGAATAACATAAGGAAAGACAGAAAGAGAAATTGTGATAAAAACAAAGAATAACATAAGAGAAGATGAAAGAAGGAAGAAACAAAGAATAACATAAGAGAAGATGAAAGAAGGAAGAAACAAAGAATAACATAAGAGAAGATGAAAGAAGGAAGAAACAAAGAATAACATAAGGAAAGACAGAAAGAGAGAGTGAGAGAATGATAAAAACAAAGAATAACATAAGGAAAGACAGAAAAAGGGGGTGATAGAATGATAAAAACAAAGAATAACATAAGGAAAGACAGAAAGAGAGAGTGATAGAATGATAAAAACAAAGAATAACATAAGAGAAGGTGGCAAGCGCGCCCGATGTATTATGTTGATAATGATGACAGGTTACGTCACTTCCGCTTATAAGCCGGCCCCGAGTCCACTTTGGTGTTACACATACCGATTGCGGGACTGAGGCCGGCCTCAAACCACATCCAGAGGTGGACTGAGTCCACCTGGCCTCAGTCCGGCTTTTCTAAAAAAAGTTGGTGTTACACATACGTCGAGCCGACTCCGGGGCCGGCCTCAGTCCACTTTTAGACTATGTGTAACAGGGGTCTAAGCATTCATCCTTGTTCTCAACTTTCTCTTCAATTCTTTGATTATCTTTCAAAGATGTAGGAACAGTACTTGTACTATACTGCTGCGTGTCTGGTATGCAGTATTCAAGGTCATACGTCTTTATGCGGGCTGTGTCTGTCAGCTTTATTACATCACTGTCACTTTCCACACAACTTTCCTTATCACAATTGACTACATCTGTATTTACACTATTCTTCTGAACTCTGTCTTCGTTGTGCGAAACACAAAGCATATCTTCAATTGAATACTTTGGATCATGCTGTTCATTTACTGGAGACACACAGTTCTCAGATTTTCCTGTCGCAGTTGCACCCATTACTTCAAAGACGCCATTACACTGATAATTCATCGACAATGCAAGTTGAATGATGTACTTATGAACACCTTGGTATGACTTCGCATGCATCAAAATACTTGTCCCATTTCCTACATCAATTCCTGAATGATTACGAGAATGAGGATCGAAAATGTAGTAACCATCACACGAAGACATGACTGATAATGTTTCGTTTCCAAAATTAACAAAAGTTACATCACTTTTGTCAAGAGTTTCTTCTAAAGCAGCAGTAAGAGGTAAACACTTTGCATCCTTCTGTTGATCTTCATGTTCAGTTACATATGCATTCACAGTTTCAGCATAGTGCACAGTGTACTCGTGCTTACCATCTTCTATATTGCATGGCAAATCTGATGTTTGTAACAAGTCATGGTTGCAAGCAGAAATGTCTATAATAGATTCATAAAGGCGATTTCCTCTCAGAAGTATGCCATCAAGATCATCTCTATTCCATGTACTTGGACTTTTTGTTTTCGAATATATCATTGACATTAAACCATTACATTTACACTGTTTTCCACTACTTGATCCAAATTGTTTGTCACTCTGATGAAAGTGCCCAGAAGCAACAAGACTAGTATCAAACAGGTTGCATCTTGTTTCAATGTCTGAACTTTCACATTTGGTATTAATATCACTTTGACATTTTGTTTCACTAGTTCCAAACAAGCTATTGGTTTGTTTCATTCCTTTATCATTAACTCCTTTTCTAATCTGTCTTTTTCTTACATGGTCTTTCCTCAAAATAACTGTACCATCTTCAGACACTTCAACAGTTCCCATCTTTCTTTTTCGATTGACCTTTGGACGATCCATCAAGGCATCATCAGTGTGAACAAAATTAGCTGACCTTTGACTTTGAATTTGTCTGCCTTTTTGATTACTTCTCCTGTTTTTTACTCTTACCCAATCACATCCTTCAACGTCATTTTCTATGTCACTTTTGTTATTGCCCTCCTGAATTCCAATTTCACTGTCTCTATTTATGCTACTACATTGATCATTCTCTGCATTTTTCTCAACATGTTTCATTCTTTTATCACCAGAAAATGTAGAACCTTTCAACTTTGTCATATATGATTTACCTTTCTTGTGTGATTTCTTTGATTTTCTTGATCCTCCTCCAGACATTTCTTTGAGACATGTTCCAGGTGTTCTTTGCTGTCCACTCTGTACTGTGTACTCATCATGGTCAATAATGCATTCGTCAATCAAGGAATCATAGTATCCATCATCTGAAAAAATACCGAAATTGTCAATGATACTACATGAGTAATTTGAGTACCCACAAATGCATATCCATACCACATTCAAATAATCTGTTTTTCCTTTACATATACCAGAGTTTATGAAGCAATCATGGTACCATCTCTTACACTCTTCACATTGCGTTTGACCAAATGTTTTCCTGTCAAATGTACAACTTTCACATTGGCTTTTACAAATACTGTCTGCTTGTTTTATTCTGCATTCAATTTCTCTAGCTTTTACAATAATACACAATACCTCAATTTCATCTATCAATTCTTTACATTCCAATGTCAAAAAAGCCATGGCTAAAGTTCAGGTCATACAATATAATAACTCGATTTGTTTGATCTGGATTCCAATATGAACAAGATTAAACTATATCAATGAGTGTCTGAGATAATAATATGTGTCTTTTTTCCTGAGCTTCTTGTTAATTCTGAAAATATTCTAAGGCCAACTCAATCATAAACCAAAAACAATTAATAAAACTTCTCAAATTCTCCTACTATAAAAAACAACTTTCACGTATAGAAATAAACTTTCAAGAACTAGATATCAACTTCAGAATTATATATCAACTTTCAGTATTAGATAGCAACTTTGAGGTATTAAATATCAACTTTCAGGTAGTAATTATCAACTTTCAGGAAGTAATTTTCAGGTAGTAGATATCAACTTTCAAGTATTAAATATCAACTTTCAGGTATTAAATAGCAACTTTCAGGTAGTGGATATCAACTTTAAGGGACTAAATATTATCTTTCAGATTAGAGATCAACTTTTAGTTTCAACAACAACTTTCAGGTACTAGATATCAACTTTCAGGTATTAAATATCAACTTTCAGGTAGTAATTATCAACTTTCAGGTAGTAGATATCAACTTTCAAGTATCAAATATGAACTTTCAGGTATTAAATAGCAACTTTCAGGTAGTAAATATCAACTTTTAGGGACTAAATATCATCTTTCAGGTATTAGATATCAACTTTCAGGTATTATATAATTTCAGATATAAAATCTACTTTCAGGTACTACATTGTATATCAACTTTCAGGTAGTAAATATTAACTTTCAGGTATAGAAATCAACTTTCAAGTATTGGATGTCAACTTTAAACTAAAGAAGTTCATTGATGCTTTTCCAAAAATTCTGTATATTAAATTCTAATTATCTGCAAATGCTCTCCTCTTCCTGCTTTCCTTTCTTTTTAATTGGTTTGACTTATTTTTAGATGTTTATTTGTCCTCTCACATACTACAACCTTGATTTTTCTTACTCTCTCCTCAGTTTATTTCTAAAGTTTCTCTTTGCTTCCTTTTCAGTTCTCTTAGTTTCAAAATTGTCTTTGGGTGTTTCTTAGTTTGTTTCACTTTTTTAGACTTGTTTTTGGTTTCTGTTGCTTACTTTTTAGCTCCTTTAAAATCCTCTATACTTTAATTAGCAATTACTCTCAGTCTATCTTTGCTTTAGTTGAATTAACAACCTTTGTCGTAGTTCCTCAACGTTTCTCTTTGGTTTTTCTTGGTCTTTATTTACTTCTTTTAATTTCAATTTTTATTGCTTTCTATTCAATTTCTCTTCATTTCTGGAATACCTCTTTGATTAAAAAATTGATCTCTCTATGATTGCTTTTTCTATAATCTTTTGTTTCAGTGAATGTATGAAAAAAAATTCAGTTTAAGAATACATTCAGCGTAGAGAAATTCAGTCAATGTAAAGAAGAACATTCAGCAAAAAGAAATACCATCAGTGTCAAAAATTCAATCAGTGTAAAGAATTTGTTCAGCGTAAAGAAATTCAGTCATTGCTTCAGGCAAGTACAAGGGTACAGGCCAAGTTACTAAGCTCAAACATGAAATGTCTTAAACATTAAACAATTGCTTTTGTCTATAGCAACCTGTACTTGGCACACCAACTGCGTAGCTCAAATCAGTGGATTACTGCCGATTGCCAGACAAGAAAAAAACAAGGATAGAAAGTTACGAACACATAACAGACACACGACACAAGACAATAAAAAAGACACAAGACAATACAAAGAATAATAGTAAAGCTTCAACACAAAACAATTGCTTTTGTCTATAGCAACTTTCACTTGGCACACCAACTGCGTAGCTCAAATCAGTGGATTACTGCCAGTTGCCAGACAGGAAAACACAAATGACACAAAAAATACAAACAAAACAAAAGACAAAACTCCACGTAGCTATTACACACCTCAGAGAAATGGTCAGATCCAACCTAAAAGGAAAAAAAAGATAAAAACAGATGTAAATGATACACTATTTAGTATTTATAAAAAAAAGGCTATTCATTTAACCAGCATTATGAATAGCAAACTTATAAAAAGTGGTCCTTATGAATAGGGGGGTAATTTGTCAATGGTTTACTCGCTATACTGTCGTTGAAATTTAACCTTTTTATTTTTTATTTTTTGGCCTGCATATAATGGGACATAGACTAGTACCTTTAAAGTCAATACTATAGTCTTTCTACTCCGACCATACTTACAATTACGTATTGATGTTCTACGAAAAGTGTGTAAGCTCAAAATTGAGTGAATATCAGCAACTGAAAGATAAATTCAAAATAACAAACATTGTAATAAACAAAACGATAACATTTACTTTCATCAACATTACTGGCTGTAACTGCCAATAAACAAAACGTGCAACATAGACTCTAGACCTAGACCTATAATAAATGTTTGTCCTTATTACATCAATAGATAGACTAGACCTTCTAGACCTATTCATGCAAAAAAACAAGTCAAAATATTGACAATTTAAAGGAAAAAAAAGTCTTATTTAGTAGATGTTTACGATGTAACCATGGTTTGGACTGAGCTGAGCGCACACCTCCCTTAGCCGATCCAACAAATAGGGGGAAGGGTATTTTTAAATTTTAAACTGTTTGTTGGGGCGAGTGATCGAGTCTTGGGGCTAGCAAAAAAATAAGTGCATAGATATTTTGCTTACGTCTAGCCGGATATAAGCCCGGGGAGGAGCACGGTTCAGGAAAGTGGCAAATTTTGGAGCTAGGACTCAGTAGGCCTAGGACTCAGTAGATCTAGTAGGAATAGATTCTAGATCTAGGAATATAGATCTAGATCTAGACTAGTCTAGTCTAGATTTCTAGGATCATTCTAGGATGCAAACAACATTTCAATCGCTGTTTTGACCAAGAAATTTTTAGAAGTTTGAGGGTAGCCCCCTAATATGGAGAATATGGAGAGTAACCTGCTCTTTCATATGACACCTCATTCATTGAGTTTTACCTTCAAGATCACGAGGAATAAAGCCAGGTTTCAATTTCAATTTATATAAAAACATCGACCAATTTTCATGGTCATGCAAAGCACGTAGACTGCATAGGGATAGGTTACGTGCGATCTCTATGGGACGGATTTTAGACACGGGTACGGGTGCGCGATCAGACACCCTATATTGTACGGTACATAGTTCACACTTCTATGGAATGCTAGGTTTCATCTTCCTCCTTCAATATTCATGACAAAGATAATCTACCAAAGACTTTGTTGAAATTCAGTTCATACTTATATTATCTTTTTCTTCCCATTTCATTGTAAAATTAATTTTTTGGACACTTTTCATTGAAGGATTAAAATAATCTGTACAGGGTAAATTATTTTGCAACAGGCACTCCATAAAAGTGTGAACTAACTAAGTACGCGCTAACTTAGCACGCGCTACCGGAATACCACCCATACAGTCTAAGTATATCTTAAATAAAAACATTAGTTAATCGTGTGTTATTGTAAGTAAAGAGAAAACTTACCGCTGACAAAATGAAGTAAACTAAGTAGAATCTAGGTCTGAAACACGTCCGTACACGTGACGTACGTACGTCTGGGCGCAAGCTGACAAAACCTAATCGTGAAAATGAGCCCCCAAAATAGAATTGATCTTTTGTTCTTCTTCTTCTGTTTTGAATCAATTACAATTACAGTTGTAACTATTGTCGCCAAAATACTTGACATCACGCGATTATATGTCTCATTTTTTTACTTTGTTAAAACATTTAATTCTAGATCTAGATCTGTATTCATCTATCTTTTAGGATATATCGAAAAAAAGGTATCGTACAGTTTTGTGCAACTCACCAAATTGACCATACTCCCCCACTCAAATTTCAAGTAAGAGTTCGTCGGCACTGTCGTCGGCCCTGCAGCGCGCCCTTGTTGTTGTTGTTGTTGTTGTTGTGTTTTGAGTTATTGGCGATTAGTCAGTGATTTGACTATTGTCGCCAAATTACTTTACGGCACGTGTTATATCTCTCAATTTTGGATTTTTTTAAAAATACATTTATTTCGTTTTATATTTATCTATCTTTTAAGATAGTATCGTAAAATAATATCGTAAGCAAAACATTCATGGGCTTTGTTAGTGTTTCTTAACAGTACGTGCAGATTATTTGTTATATCACATACACACCATACATAAATATGTATATAAGATAGCACCTACACAAGCTTCTATATTCAGTAATCTTATCATACCTTTTATCATTGTTGTTACTTTTTCTTATTTTATTTTCTTAATACATTATGTTATTATATTTTTAATGTACTGAGTGTAATTTAACATATTTATAATATCGTATTATGTTTTACTGTTCTTATTTTCTTTTCTTATTACATTATGATTGTTATTATATTTTTAATGTACTGAGTGTAATTTAGCATATTATAATATTGTATAATGTTTTACTATTCTTATTTTATTTTCTTATTACATTATGTTATTATATTTTTAATGTACTGAGTGTAATTTAACATATTTATAATATTGTATTATGCTTTACTGTTCTTATTTTATTTTCTTATTACATTATGTTATTATATTTTTAATGTACTGAGTGTAATTTAGCATATTTATAATATTGTATTATATTTTACTGTTCATCAAGGGAGGTATTACTTCCTGATAGGGAACCGTTTCGTTCTGAGAAAGAACCGTACAATAGCTTTTTGTATACTGGACTCACTCTTTTTTAAGTATTCCATAATTTTTTCAGGTTGGGATTCGTTAATTTCTGTTAGAAACATAGCCCTTTCTATAATATAGTTAGGGCAATGTACTAAAAAATGTTTTACAGTCTCTATTTCACTGGGGCATCTATTACAGAAACCAGTAGCATGAATTCCCAATCTGAGGAGATCCTGGTTAAGTCCAAGGACTCCAAAGCGGAGTCGATGTATTATTGTTGAATGTTGTCTCTCTAATGAGCATATATATGGTTTATTAACATCTTTTTGATATGTTTTCAAATACGAGTTGGTTTTGTTCCACCTTTCTTGCCAAAGGAGTTTGGAACTTGTAGTAATTAAGCTTTTCATTTCTGACATATTTAGGTTATTATTGACTTCTATTTTCTTTACTAATGCGGCCTTTGCGTGGAAATCCGCCATCTCGTTCCCTTTTATTCCACAATGTCCAGGTATCCACTCTACATATATATCAACTCCTTTATTCTTTAAGTGAGTAGTCATGGTGAGAATTTCCAGAATAAAAGATTCGTCCTTCTGTTGTTGTAATGCAATAAGTGCACTCAGTGAATCACTAAAAATAACAACCCCCACATAAATGTCTAATTCATCTACCCATCTGAGAGCAAGAATGATGGCA